AGCTGCTTTTGTGTGTAGCCAGAATCGCCTGCAAAGATCCTCTCAGTTATTCAAAGTAATGCCAACAAAGCTTCTTTGCAAATTGTGCTGAGGTCATCACTTGCTATTCAAGCTGTAACTGGTGGAAAAAAAACACATGCACTACTTGTTTCTGTTCCCCGACAAAACAGGAGCGTAATGATCCTAACCGTGGCTCTTGGTGGGGTGGGCAGAGCGTGGAATGCACCTCCCGAGGGCTTTCAAACATGCAGGTGAAGAGAAGGATCGTGTCTTCGACCATTTGCACTGCAAAGTTACATGCAGGCTCAAACATGCGCAGTTTTGAACAGAAGGCTATGAAGTGCTTGCTGCTTCAGCCCAGCACTATCCAACTGGCCAGCAGATTTGCAACACAGCCTAACTCCCCTAGCCTGCGCTGGAGCCTCAGCAGCATTAGAGCAGAGCCAAGATTGCATTTGTGAGCAGCAAACATAATTGATGAGGGCCTCCATTTCCACTCCCTTGCACTTGCATTTTTCATTTCAGTGCACGTACAGTGGATGGAAAATGCCACCAGCCTTGGTTCAAAGCCCGAGTTAAACGAGCATCAGAAGAGTCACGCTCTTGGAGTATTTTTGCTGTTTAAAATGTACATGGCAGACAGCCTTAGAGATCAATGCCCTCTATTTATCAGAAGAGGCCAGGAAGCAGCATTTGCTGCCCAGCCCTGCACCCCTATTCTCCCCCAAGGGAGGATCAGTCCTGACTGGCATTCTTGCCCTGTACTCCTTGTTGGCAGAGAGGGTATTAAACGTGTTGTTTGGTAGGCAATGTGGACGCATCACCTAGGATTTGGAAGGAGACCCTGCCCTGCTGCCAGACACACCAAGTTTCTTTTCCAATAGGTGTTGGAGAGTTAAAAAGCAACATGTTTTAGCCTTAGCCATTGATGGGTCCCCTGCACACCTTGGGAGGCATGACATATGCTAGTAGCACCGAATCTGCCGCAAACATGCAGGGATTCACCTTGGGGCACAGTACAGAGCCTAGGTCTTCTGTAAGACCAAGTCTGCTGTTGCACAGGGGTAAAGTTGCCCAAATCAGTGGAGCTGGCCTCCCCACCCCACCCTGCAGTCCATCACTGGACTGGCCACCAGCCAGAGGGAGCTTAGCTCTCCTGGCTGGAAGAAAGGTTCATTTCATTCCTCACTCAGTGTGAACATTTCCCCCAGCAAGGGCATTTTCTATTCCAGAGCTGAAGCTGCTGTAGGAACTGGTGGACAGCTACACCTGCAAGCACACAGAAAAAAGTTGCACAGGATTTTTACAGCTCAGATGCAAAGCTTTATGGACCAGGTTAGGCTTCACAGGAATTTGCATCCCCTTCTCCTTCCCCGCTTCAGAACCAGGAGATCAAAGTCAAACAGTCCCCTGCTCCTAAACGGCTGTCATGAATCAAGAGCACGGTCAGTACAGATAGGCAGCTGAGACACGGGAGACCCACATCTGGATCCCTGCACGTTCTTGTGGGATGGTCACTCACTGTGCCTCAGATCCCAATCTGCAATGGGCCCGAGGCAACTGCCTTTGGCTATTCAGACTGTCAGGTCTTCAAGCAGGCACTGTCTCTCATTTCTCAAATGCACAATGCTTTGTCCTGTGGTGTCCAGAGCTCAGCTGGGCCCTCTGCATTATGCCAATAAGAATAAAATGATATTCAGCCTTTACAAAAGTCAGCAAAAGAAAGAAAGAGGAATCAAGAGTGACCTTTTAGAGGTGCCTCATCTCTTTCATCTGAGAAAATGGCAACATAGCAAAACACATTCCCCGCCCCCCATAAAAAGTGGATCCAAGTGTGTTTTGTAAATTATAGATTAGCCAGCAGTGATTTTTCACTAAAGAGACCCCACATCGAGTTACAATCTGAGCAAGGCTTCAAGGGACTATGCTGGGCAAGAGGTCACACCAGTCATAACTGCACATTCTCTCTCCTTACCGTTATTATTTCTACCTACAAAAGATGATGCATATTGTACAAGTCTGGTGTGCACAGAGCAGGGGGAGGGAAGGGGGCAAGGGCAAGGCTAGCACCACTGGTTTGCTTCCCATAAATCATCTCTGGGAAGCCCTGGCTGCCAAGCAACACCCTCCTTAGCAGAGGGTTGACTGAGCAACGATGGGCCTTTCCATTCCCCTCCCCCCCCAAAAAAGGGTTTTATTCCCATTTGCATTGACAAGGTTTGCTTCTCCCAGTGCCAATCCAAAGTCACCTTCCCCCGCTCCATGAAAAGTTTCATTTTTGACAAAAACTCTCATTTTCTGAGCTGAAAAAAAATTAGATCTCTGGGGAGATGCCTACAGCCCTGTCCCAGTACTAGTTTGTTGAGGGTTATACAAGGAAGTCCTTGCTCCTCTCTCATGGAAAACTCACCACTGAAAGGGGATCTTCCTAGCTTTCCCCTTCCACAGTACAGCTCTGTTATCACTGGGAGTCAAAGTCTTGCATTGTTTGAACATCTCAGGACCACAGAGCTTGGATTGGCTCTCCTAAATCCAGGTTCATTTGTAAGGGGATTCATTTGAAGTGGGTACCTGCTCCAAATGTAGACAGACTTGCTCAGAGAGGAACTGATCTGGGGTTTACTGGGGGGGGCATGCACATAGAGTCTAAAAAAAAATTTGGTTTGGGGTCAACTCAAAACAAGTATTTTTTCAAAATTCAGTGACACAACCTTTGACTTGAACATTTTAGCAAAACTGAGATGAACTCATGGAATATTTTGGAGTGGCTGACCTGCATTTATTTTTATTTTTTTTCCTTTAAACCAAAAAAAAAAAAAGTTTCACCTGAAGAACATTGCTTGGATTTTCTTGTTCACTCACCCACCCACCCACCCCAAGGGGGGGGTTTTTACACACAAAGGGGCCGTGGGGAGGTGTACCGTG